TTTTTCCTAATCAGAGGACTGAGCTACGTTCGCCTTTGATACATAAAACGTCTCACCACTTTAGCTTATGGAATAATCTCCTAGCAGAGTCCTGATGTTTGTTAGGTGCATGGAGTAAATTGAATAGCCGGAGGGTCTTCATGTTAGGCAAAAGAACCAAAATCGGGGATGGGGCCTGTTCACCATCTAAATTGTTCGTGAAATGACCTCTTTCGATATGGTGTTCTTTGTTTTGGGGCTGTGGTCTGATTCTGATATTCTGTGTTTTGGACTGGAACTTGACAGTTGCGCAAAAAATATTTCGAGCGTAGTTTCGACCTGTCACGACAGCATTTGCAGTGTATATGCATAAGTGAAAAATGCATCATAGTGAGGTCGTGTGTATTGTATGTACAAATGTACATATTTGTATGTATATATGTTTGTATGCGTGTACATTCTTGCGTTTTGCGTGTGTGTGTGTGTGCTTGTGCTTATGCAAGTACATGTGTGTACGAGTATATGTGTGTGCCTTTCTATCTCAGCAATAGTTTTAGGCCAACATTTTGATCGCTTGATGTCCAGACATATTTGGGATTTGAGACGTAAAGTCAGTTTTAGGACTCTCCTGACCTCGATAGAGCTTGTATTTCATTCTCATGAGTATTGGCACATCCTTCAGACCTGCTTGGGCAGGTTTTAGCCAGGATTTTGTTGATACAGTTCGCCGGAGAAGCAAACTCGTTTTGTTTTTCGTTTTTATACGTTTTATGCTGTGTAACAGCAGTACAAAACGCATATTGTCAGGGGGTTGTCTGTGTGTCTGTGTCCGCAGCAACTTGTCCGCAACTTTCAACTCAGGAACCACAAAAGGTAGGAAGCTGAAAATTTGGGGGAACTTTCCTCACTTACATGCTACTCGGCAAATTTAAATTCAGCCTCCCCTTACCCGCAGGTAACGCTTACGGCCCCGTAAAAGTTTGGGCGGATAAAATTATTATCACGGGAACCACGGAAGCTAGAAAGCTGAAATTTTGTAGGCATGCCCCGCACCCACGTGCTACCCAGAAAATTTAAATTCAGCTTTCCCCTGTTCGCGGGTAACATGTACGGCCCCTTGAAAATTTTTGACGGGTGAATTATATTATCTCGGGGACCACGGAGTCTAGGAAGCGGAAGTTTTGGGGCAATGACCCCCTACCCACGCTCGACCTTGCCTATTCAAATTCAGTGTTTACGCGTCCTCGGGTATCACCTACGGCCTCGTGAAAATTTTTGCGAGGGAATTATTATTTTGGGAACCATAAAAACCAGGAAGCTGAAATTTTGTGGTAATGTCTTCTGTCCACATACAATTCTGTAATTTTAAATTCAGTTCCCCGCGCGTCCGAGTATCACTGACGGTCCCGTGGAAGTTTCGGCGAGGAAATTATTATCTTGGGGATCATGGAATTTGAGAATCTGAAATTTTAAGATGATCTCCTCCACAAACGTGCGACCTCGCAAATTTGAACTCAGCCTTCGCGCACTCCTGGGTACCACGTACAGCCGCGTGAAAGTTTTGACAGAGAAGTTATTATCTCCTGTGCGTGAAATTTCTAGTGGGAAATTCCGCAGCTTAAGACTAGACAACATTTCAACTATTTTTGCGCAGACCAAAATGCAAAGCAGTGAAAATCATTAGCAGGCAATCGTTCGGTGAACGGAATTGCACAAAACGCATGATCGCACCGGCTGCCCTGGTGCACCGCTATTTATTTTTGTATTCTAAGGTAAAAATTACATGTACCCTTTCGCAAAAATTTGAAGTGTACCACCGTTACAGCGTCCTCCTCTTTTTCAGTTGCACTGGATGGTGATCAAGCTGGGCTTTCGGTGTTTGGTTTTAGCCATCCATGTGGAAGCCAGAAACTTGTAATCAAATTTCACTCCTTGCGTGTGTGTTACATGTGGAGTATTACATGTGGTATCGCTTTACAGGCAGTGTAAAAGGGTTTTGCGCGTGTTTGAGCAAAATACGTGTGCTGGGATGTGATGCACTGTATAGCTGTGTGTACGAAGAACTTATCGCAAAAGCATGCCGTGCTAGCCTGGCCAGTGCTGCTTTTAAAAACCTACTTACAGAACATTTTTTTTTTCAGTGTTTTTTATTATTCCCTTTTAAGATATTTGTTTCTGATTATTTTCTTTTGTTTCGATTTTGGCTCAGATTGATAGCAGTTGATGTGTGACACACGAGGAAGCACTGGTACAACTGGAATTGACACGATCACTGTTTTGTGCTGAGCAATGATGATCACTGTTGCAGGTCTTGTGGGGCATTTTGTATCGTGCGATTATTTTAATCAGTTCCTAGATAGAGGATGGAGCCGGTAATTAACAATAATTGGCTAGCAAAAGTGACGTAGTTTGCCAGTCGGGGAAGGCACGCTTTACCATAAGGCAAAAACAAGCCGCTTAGTTGAGCAGCGCTAATTCCCTGTTCATATGCCTCTAAATTTTAGAAATGAATTGGCTTTAAAAAAAGTGGAGCAGGGGAGTTTTTTTGGGAATAAGGAGAAGAGCAAAAGGAGGAAAGTGAGAACAAAATTTTGGGCGAGCCCTCGTCCCGGACCCGTGCTCTTTGGTCGGCGACTTGAGTGAGAATTTATGTAAATTCAAAAGAATTTTGCTTTTTCCTCAACAGACTCAAAATTCATATATAAAAGTCTGTTAGGTGGAGGCAGTCATATGGCTAGGCACCCTTTCTCGAATCAAACGATTTGTGAGGGTTGTTTTGAGTTCAATATTTCTCGTGTGTTGGGATGTCATATAGGAAATAGTCACTTTTGCCTTTCAGCGTATTCGTATCTTTATCATATTTATTCAAAAATAAGCCACTTTGCAAATTTCAGGAATTTGGGGACA